TCTGCCGCTAGTGGGAGAGGCAGGCGGGCGGGTGGGCAGGCGGGCGGGCGTTCAGGCTGAGAAATATATAGATAGATAGAGAGAGAGAGATTCAGGAGAGCAAACTAAGATTAGAGGAGATGTGAGGATGGGGGAAGGAAGAAGTTGCAGGGAATCTAGGAGCGAAAACTTTGCACCAATAAATTCTCTCGTCTCTTCCCACTGGTCTTGCCCAGATCTTTTGCGTGTCACCAATCTGCGAGTAAATTTCACAAAGCTGCACACTCTGGGTGACAACCTGCTGGACTCACGTCATCAGGTGCTGCAGAAATACTACTATGCCGTGTACGAGATGGTGCTGCGTGGAAGCTGCTTCTGCTATGGACATGCCTCTGAGTGTGCCCCCTTGACTGGTGGGTCAAGCAGAGTGGATGGCATGGTAAGGTGAAGGAAGAGTGTGTCAAGGCATATGGAACAATGGAGGATGCTGACACTCATGTGCTGAAATGTCTGAGAACTGCGTCATTTCATTCAGAGTAGCCAGCCCACCTAGAACTGGAGCAAAAAACTGTTGGATAGCACAGCGGTTTGGGTTTCTGACTGCAGACCAGAGGTTGGGGATTCAGTTCCCCATTGTGCCTTCTTGACATGGTCTGGACTTGATGATCTATAGGATCCCTTTCATCTCTGCAGTTCTAAAATTATTTAAAACACTAACTAGACCAAAACCCTGAGCAGAGACTACAGATTGGTTGGTTGTCACACATAGGTCATACCCATCAGGGTGTGATGGTTGACCTGTGCTCCCATTACAGTTCTGTACCAAGGGAGCCTCCCATAATCCAGTGCTCCCCAGATATGTTGGACTGTTTCTCCCATTATCCCAAGCCAGCGCAAAATGGCTGTGTGACTGGGATGATGAGTTTTGTTGTCCAACACATCTTGAGGACAGCAGGTTGAAGAAGAAGAATTATAACTGTGTAGCCTGCATAATTGAAATGTAAACCACCCAGACAGTGCTTTAAGCACTTTGGGATGTTATATGACCAGTACGCCTGGCTTTTTTCTCTTTCTTTAAAGGATCTGTATTACTGTACCAGAAGCTGAATTTCCATGGACAGGAAGTACAGACCCTCTAGTAAATCAATTGACTGTACCTAGTTCTTATACGATGATGGCTCAGGCTCCTTTGCTTTTAATCCTTTATCGGCATGTGTTATTTTCAGAAGTGAGATTTTAAAAATACCCTACAACTCCCTCCAGCTATCCTGGTCTGTCAGTGGCCTTTGCTGGCTGTGGAATGGTGAGAGTTGTGTAGTGTTTTGTGTAGGGATTCTGAGAGCACGTCTTGTGTAGTGCTAAGATCTCTAGTGAACGGAGAGGGAAGGGTTGAGAAAGATATGTATGGAGTCAAGTAACCCCACATCCCACCCAGTGCAAGATCCACCCAGAAACTCTGTGATTTAAAAAGGGTTAGAGAGGCCTAGCCACATGGTTTTTCAGCTTTGTTTATTCTTCACAAGTGTCCAGGTTTAGGTGATCTTTGACTCCAGTGTACAATTGTAGCTGTGAAGATTGTCTCCTGACTGTAAGGTCATCCACCATGTTCAACTTGCTTTAGAGTCAGGTTTACATGAGACATTTGGCTCAACACCCAGGGATGGGAAGTCATTTTTCAAACATGGGCATCTTGAATAGCACCCAGTGGTTCTTCTGCAGGGCTGTTCCAAAGCTCTCATCTGACTCCTTTGTCCCAGATCCACGGGCGATGTGTCTGCAAACACCACACCAAAGGGCTCAACTGTGAGTTCTGCAAAGACTTCTACCAGGAGTTGCCGTGGAGACCAGCAGAGGCCCATGACCCACATGCTTGCAAAGGTGAGAGAGTGTCGGAGTTGTTTGTTTTTCTTTTCTTTTCATGGAGCTGTGGGGTATTTTATTACTCAGTAAAGCCCACAAGAATAGAGCTGTCCCCTGGGGAAGAAGACTTTTATGTTTCAGGAAGGTGACAACAACCCCAGGCACTGAGCTAATTGGTCGTAGAGGCTAGTGGTGTTGGTGAGGCTGGAAAGAACAAGGGGGATCCAAAAACAAATGAATATAGTAATGTTTTACCGATAGAGAGTGGTGAACATTCTGTAGTAGAATGCATGGAGGGGAGGGTCCTTCCACTTCAGCTCCGAACAGCTTTTACAATAAGGCCTCTGGGCCATTTTAATCTCTACCTTAGGTTTCCTCTCTCAACTGCAAAGGTCCCTTCAGCGTTTTCCACCATATGTGGCAGCTGTTGGGTTCCTTGATCCTAGTGGCCTTATTTCTTTTCAAAATTGTGCATGTGCATGTTTGCATGCAGAATCCACCCAACCACAAGCAAAACACATCTGGGGCAGGTGATGGTGGCGGCCCTAAGGGTGACACATCAGATTGTGGCCTGGTCCACCTCATGGTTGATTTCGGTAATGGCAATTATGGCAATTGGGCTTTTTTTGGGGGGGAAGAGGGGGCTACAGCTCTCACAATCCTGCAAGTAGCATGCCCACTGGCCATCCGATTCTGACTATTTCCTCTTTTTGCCTGATACTGGAATAAGGGTCCCCTGTGTGCAGATTAGATCACTGAGGCCACATCCTGGAGAGAAGGATGGCTGAGCAGAGGCAGAGGGAGTGGAGTGCCGCAACTGTTCAGCGTGTTCTTGGCTTCTCCGCAGAGTGTAACTGCAACGAGCACTCGCACAGGTGCCACTTCGACATGGCTGTGTACCTGGCCACGGGCAACACCAGTGGTGGGGTCTGTGATGAGTGCCAGCACAACACCATGGGCCGCCACTGCCACCTCTGCAAGCCGTTCTACTACCGCAACCCACTGGCTGACATCCGTGCAACCACCGCCTGTATCCGTGAGTGCCACCTTATTCTGCTTATTGTGTTTTTTATTCAGAACCTTGAAAAGTTACTTTTTGGATCTATATTTCATAGAATTCTCCAGCCAAAATGGGCCGATGATCCTAACAGCTGGTAGATTCTGGGAATTAGTCCAAAAGTGAAGTAGCTCCTGTCTGTGACAGTAAATTCATTTACACAACAACCACCTTGACTTATCTGAGCTTTGACTTTATTGCATCTGCTGTGGCTATGTTTTTTGTCAAATAGAGGTCCCGGAGATTTTAATTTACAGATCTTCTGTTTTGGTTTCCTCCCACCCACACTGGTCTTACTAACTCTTCCTTGGCACCTGGCTGCCTCTTGAGAATGTTTTCTTCTGAGATGTAACAATTCTCTTAAACAGCTATCCCCACAGGGACGAAATATTTTTTGCAGTACTACACTATCACGATGTATATGCAGAGCACATTATCTGCCTTCCTGCTCTGCCAAGGTAAGGGTTCTTGTGTAAACTGAAAAGGATACAAGTTTTCATTCACAGAATCATAGAAAATGTGCAGTTGGAAGGGGCCTATAAGGTCATCAAGTCCAACCTTGTGCTCAGTGCAGAAATACAAATCAAAGGTTATCTTCCAGGTGGTTGTCTTAAGTTTCTCTTGAATGCCTCCATTCACGAAAGTTAGTCCAGTTCTAAAATCCCCTTAAGAAATTTACAAGTTTTTTTTAGCTTCAGTATTTTAATAGGCTTAATAATAATAATGTACCATCAAATACCATTTGATTGCCAGTGTAGTGTAGTGGATAGAGTGATGAACTAGGACCCTGGGGAACAGATTTCGAATTCCCACTTGACCATGAAAACAGACTGGTAGTAGTAGAACTGGTAAAACCACTCAAATATCTCACTTACTGTGTTAGTGTTGTTATAAGTCAGTTTGGACGTGATAGCACAGAACACACCCACTCACCATCAAGCCAGTTCTGACTTACGGTGACCCATTCCAGGGTTTTCTAGCTGCAGAATACTCTGGTTTGCCATCCCCTTCTTCTGGGGCTGCTTTGAGACTGTGCAGCTCGCCCAGGGCTATGTGGGCTCTTCCGGGAGTCCCCGCGGGGAATTGAACTCCCAACGCCTGGCTCTGCAGGCAGAGACCCAACTCCCTGAGTGATGTTTCATCATGTCCTTTCCAACAGGGCATCGGCGGTGTAGTTTCTTCATTTATCTGCCTTGACTCCTCTTTTTTTCATCCCGACAGCATGCGATTGCGACCCAGTGGGCTCCTTGGATGGCGGGGTATGCGACAGTCACACCGACGTGATGCTGGGCATGATCGCTGGGCAGTGTCGCTGCAAAGAGAACGTCAAAGGCGTGCGTTGTGACAGCTGCAAAGAAGCCTTCTATGGACTGAGTCGCAATGACCCTCTGGGGTGCCAGCGTTAGTATGGGTGGCTGAGGTGACTTTGTGGGTGCAGGTGTGGAATCAGACCATGTTTGTACGCGTACAGAGTTGTGGGCAAGGGTGGCTCAAAGGGTGCAGAATCTCAGGGTCAGGGCAGATACGGAATTACTAAACGTAACGGAAGATGGAGCCAGTTTTGAAGCACCCTCAGTGCTCAGTACAAATATGTATTTTCATCCAGATTAAGGCTGTGACTACACTACCAAATACTGTAGTACTGAATTTGATGTGGAAGTAGAATGGATAAATTCAGAGGGTTTTTTTAAAAAAACTAATCACATGACACAAAGGCCAGTGTAAAATGGAGTGATTCAAACTGTGTTGCCCCTGTGTGATCAGTTGTTTAACTCTGCAAAAGAATATTGCGGGAGGGGGGGAGGCTAGGTCTGTGAGTGGTATTCTGGTGGCATATTAACTGGGTATAATGTTTTGGACAGTGGGAAAACCCAGCCCCATAATCTTTTTCCCTGTCACCCCTAAGTATTTATTATTATTATTATTATTATTATTATTATTATTATTAGTAGTAGTAGTAGTAGTAGTAGTAGTAGTATTAGTATTAGTATTATTATTATTATTATTATTATTAGTAGTAGTAGTAGTAGTAGTAGTAGTAGTAAACAAACAGCAACGCCTAATTGCTTTCATTTGGCTTGCCAGTGTAGTTGCAGCCTAAGGCTCTGTAAACTGCTTTCAGCAGTTTAGAACTAAGAAAGGTTGTGCACAGTGCTGCTTGGCTAGTGTCTGTTATATCACCTTTCCATTTTCGATAATTTGTTTCCACAGTAGCCTCTTTGGTAAAATGGACAGCCCCCTTGAAGCTTGGGGATTGGAAAAAGCCTGCAGGCTGGCCGAGTATTTTACTTGATAGAAGATATACATACCTTAAATGTGGATTGTTTTATTGGGGCTTATCTGAGCATAATGCATTGGCATATAGTGCATCTGCCTTCATTTGTAAGGATACACTCACTGCAGCAAGATAAAATAAACAGTGGGAACAGCGGAAGTGTACCGTAGAAAGGAAGGTAGCATTTGCTAAAGAGCACCTTTGTAGTCTCTGTAGCAAGGAATCTTAACTCAGTGGTAGAGCACTTATTTTGCATTTAGAAATACCAGGTTCAGTCACTCTCAGGTTAGAAGAACCAGGTAGTAGATGATGTCAGAAATCTATTCCTAACATATTAGAAAGCCACTGCTAGCTGGAGCAGGCGGTACGTAGCCAGATGTATAGATAGCTTGATGCAGTTTTCTGAACCAGAGTGTACACACTGGTTTTGTGCTGATTCTTACTAGCTATGTGGAGCAGTCTGAAACATTCCTGATGTATGGACTTCAGAGAACCAATGTGCTAAAAAGTGTTCCAAAAAGGAACCACCTGGTTGTCCCTTATATATATATATATATTTTGCAAACTTGCAGTGTCTATTTTATGCTCATTATAGAGGAGAGTGACCAATTTGATAGTATAAGTATTTTGTACTTGGGGAGTGACCAAGATTGGGATAGTATGATTTGCATGGCATAAGAAAATGCAAATCAACCCAGAGGTTTTCCCCCCCTTTAATTTGTAGTTTTTGCCTCTGCTGCTGGGGCTGCTACTTTAAAAAAAAACCACATCCAATCACATAATTTCAGGTGTCTGATCACTCGAAGCAATGTAGAAAAGCACCCCTGCCAGCACACATTTCTTCTTTCTCTGTGACCAAGTATTCTGGGTTTTTTTTCAGTTTAAGGATGGAGCATCTTTCTATCAGCAAGAATTCTTTTAAAGAGAACTACAATAGGAAATTGAGAGAAGGAAGCCTTGTTTACAACTTACTAAATTGTCCCTTTATAATTGTGCCACCTGCAGGAATATAAATTGTACTGTATGCAAGCTGCGAACAAAGCACTTCTCCTCTTTGCCTATGTGGCCAATCAACATGAGGAGACCCAGGAAAACACAAATTTATTTATTTGTTTGTTTGATTTGATTTGATTTGATTTGATTTGTACCCTGCCCATCTGGTCTAGAAGACCACTCTAGGCGGCAAATTCCCTGTTGTGATTTTGCAACAAGTGAATGTGAGTGAATTAAAATTTCCCTCGCTGTGTAGTTGCATTCTCTGAGATAGGATTAGATACCCTGCCTCAGATGGCAGATATTAAACTTCAGCAAATTGTCAGAGTTTGTTCATTTGTAACACACTAAAGAGTGGAATTTGTGTGCTTCAAGCACCAGAAAATTTTGAATTTGGATAGCATTACTAATAGATTTTTTTCCAGAACAGTTTCTGGTCTTTATCCTGCGCTCCCACATCTGATCTTTTGTGTCTATACAAAATGTAAATTATACATAACAGGGAGTTCCCATGTTCTTTCTCCTTGAAAAACAACCAGAATAAAAAAAAAATATATAAATTCTTCAATCACTTTGAAGCAAGGCAAGACTTGGACATTCAGAAATCAAGGATTCTCTGAATTGATTCCATTACCAAACTCTGACTCATGGGATTGTGGGAACTGAGAGAGAATGGCATGGGAACTGGAATGGCCCCTGGCCCTTCAACCTTTGTGCCTCCTGTGCCAGGCCAGGGGAAGCAGAGGCTCCTGCATCGTTACAGACAGAGAGGTACCTGAAGCTGACTCTTGTCTCTATGGAAAGTGGTGCTGTCTGTTCTCAGCCTGCAGGTGTGACCCTCGTGGGATCATTGCAGGAAGCAGCCCCTGTGACCACATCAGTGGCGACTGCTATTGCAAACGTTTTGTCACCGGACGATACTGCAACCAGTGTCTGGTGAGTAAATGCTGTGGCATCAGAATGGGTGCTGTGTATCTACTGGGGATCATGTCTAGTTAGTCTGATAAGAGCCTTGTGACGCAGTGGTTAAACTGCAGTACTGCAGACAAGGCTCTGCTCACGATCCGAGTTAGATCCTGACAAGCTCAGGTAGCCAACTCAAGGTTGACTCGGCCTTCCATTCTTCTAAGGTCGGTAAAAGTTCACTGGGGCGTGGGAGACAGTGTGTAGCCTTTATAATGGTAAACTGCCCAGAGAGTCTTTTAAGTACTGTGGGGCAGTATTTAAGCAGAATGCTTTGCTTTGTTTTGCTTGGCTTTGATGCTCCTTTTCCTCTACAGCCTGAATATTGGGGGCTGAGCTATGACATGACCGGCTGCCGCAGTTGTGCTTGTGATTTTGGAGGTGCCTACAGTAACAGGTAGGTGTGTAGTGGGCATGGGCTGGGCGGACATTTGCTGAACGATGCCGTGTGGCTGGAGA